TTTATATTAATTTAATTATTAAAAATAATTAGTAATTAATAAAATAATCAATATTTATTATTTAATAAATTAACATTAATTTATAAATAAATATTTTAAATATTATAATTAATTATTTTAAAAAATTACATATTAATAAAATTTCAAATAAAATAAATAAACTTAACAAAATTGGCATTGACCATAAACTCGCTCCTCGTCCATCGATCTAGAAGTTGTTGGTCAGGGCAAAATCAAATGTCAACGAGTACAGGAAACCCCAATAATAAAGCTGCAGAAGCAGAAACCACTGAAATCACTCGGAAACAAAACCAGTGAAATAAAGGAAACCACTGAAATCTAATCCAAACCCGCACCGACCGACCCTATCAAAACCAGTGGGTGTGGTGGGTTTGACCCCTGAGGGACGGTTAAAAAGAGACAACGCCACTTGTTTTCTGTTTCTCGCGCATTGAATCAGCACTCGGGATCCGAATTCTTGACCCACCCGGGAACAGAGTCACGGGCTATAAATAACCCAATGCCAAACAGCCTCTCCAAAATCTCTCCCCATACGTTTGGCGCTTCAATACGCTGATACACATACGCTCTTTAACTAAGTCCCATCAATTCACCGAAAAAAGATAAAGTTTTACTTTCTCTTCTGCGTTCTGCTTTCTGCTTTCTGCTTTCTAGTCAAGTAGCACGGAGTGACGATCATGGAAAACGCCGACGGTACGACGACGAAATTGGTTACCGGCGACGCTGGTTACGTGCTCGAGGACGTTCCTCATTTGACTGATTACCTTCCTGATGTTCCGGTACTTTTTTCCTCCGTCAATCCTCATTTCTCTTTATCTTTGCACTTTTGTTGTTGATGCATTGGCCTTTTTTTTCTTTTTTTCTTTTTTTGAAGTCGAAGTTGATGTAGGAAACGTCACTGAGATGTTGTTTATTTCGAGTGATTTGATTGCTTTTGATTTCTGAAGAAGTGAATGCTTTCTTCGAATGTTTCTTCAGTATTCAAAGTTTTGCTTGGCTGTTCTAGATCCTAGTTTTTGAATGATAAATTTGCCTGATCTTAACGGTTTTTGGCTTTGATTATGAACTATGATTGATTACCATCAGTATGAACATAAACATGGATTATTTGCATACTTTTGGAATATGTGTGACAAAATAATTTTCATGGTGCTTATTTGGTGACAGAGTTATCCCAATCCATTACAAGATAATCCAGCTTATTCAGTAGTCAAGTAAGTTTGCCTTTCTCATTACTCAACTTTAACTTTGTTTCAGTTTTATCAACTTTTGGTTATTACATGTTTTATGTCTCTAGAGTGATTCTTTCATGGTTTTGTGATTCCAGGCAGTATTTTGTTGACCAGGATGATACTGTCACACATAAGGTGAATATTGCTGTTTATTTTAATTTGTTCTATTTATTTGAGTTTACATCTTATGAATTCCTTGGTAGATCAACTTCGTAATGAAATGGTGTATGGATTGTGTTATCAGACTGAGACAATCATGGGTGCACCTTCAAGAAGGTCGTCTTAGCTGTTTAAGCATGATGAAACTAGAAAGTTAAGCTTAAAAAGTTGAAAGCCAAGTTAGGAAGTTTATTTAATCTATTTAATTACCAAAAGAGGAAAAGAAATAATACTGAGAATTTTTTTAATCATTTATTTATTTTTTTTAACCATTTATAGATTGTTGTTCACAAGGACAGTCCAAGAGGGACACATTTTCGACGTGCAGGACCTCGCCAGAAGGTATGTTTCTCATTCTGTCTTAGTGCAGAAAAAAGCTACTTATACTTTACTGACAATTGTGTGCAATGCTTCTCAGGTGTATTTTCAGTCAGATGAAGTGCATGCATGTATTGTAACATGTGGAGGTCTATGTCCTGGACTCAACACGGTGATCAGGGAAATTGTGTGCGGCCTTTATCACATGTATGGTGTTACCAGAGTCCTCGGAATAGATGTGAGTGTTTAAGCTGTGTTACTTGCATTATATATTCTAAGAGATGCTACTGGTGGGGTAAATTAATCTTGTAATTGCTATGGTTGTTATTATTATTATTATTATTATTTTTTTTTTTTTGGTTCTTTCTTTCTGAATTTGGATATATTTCATAGAAGGGTAAATAGCACAATCTAATCAACTTAAGACTTGCCTCATAATTCAGTGGTCTCACCAGCAATTTATTCTTAATATAAACACAGGGAGGATACAAGGGTTTTTATTCCAAAAATACCATTACTTTAACTCCTAAGGTGGTTAATGACATCCATAAACGTGGTGGGACAATCCTTGGGACGTCAAGAGGAGGTCATAGCAAGTCAAAGATTGTTGACAGCATTCAGGATCGTGGGATCAATCAGGTGAGTGAGGGGCTGAGGCTTCTGTTGATGTTATGCCCTCTTATTCCTCTCTCTTTTTTCTTTTTTTCTTTTTTTCTTTTTTTCTTTTTTTCTTTTTTTCTTTTTTTAATAACTATCCTTGTTTTTGAAATAAAGTATCTACTGTGTTTTCTAAATCATTTTTCTTTAAATTACCTAATTCCTGTTCGTTGGTCAGGTTTATATAATTGGGGGTGATGGAACTCAAAAAGGAGCAGCAGTTATTTATGAGGTAATTCTATTTGGTATATTAATGGATTATCTGAAAAAAAATATTGCTCACAGATTGATCAGCTTGAATGCTTAACCAAGGGTATAGTAAGAATTGTGCTATATTTGTAAGGAATTAACTATCAAAAATTGCATAAGTCCTAGACTGCCTGCGATTATCTTGTCTTATCGTTGCCTTTCCTTCATTCCTGAATTAGGTTTATTGCACTTCTAAATGCAAACAGTGCTATGTATTATTCATTTTATGTCAACTATTTTAGAATGACTTGATTTTCTCTGTGCAGGAAATTAGAAGGCGTGGGCTCAAGGTTTCAGTTGCTGGGATTCCCAAAACCATTGATAATGACATTCCGGTATTCCTCATCCACATGTCATCTGTTGTTCTGAAATAAAATTGTCCTTTGCCTTTTATTACTTGAAAGGCTTTCCTGATATTCCTTTTTATGTTGTATTTTCATTCTGGTTCAGGTTATTGACAAGTCATTTGGTTTTGACACTGCGGTTGAGGAGGCTCAACGTGCCATCAATGCAGCTCATGTTGAAGCTGGAAGTATTGAGAATGGTATTGGACTTGTAAAGCTAATGGGGCGATTTAGTGGTAAGTTTTTTGGCATGGATCATAATTGGTTGGAACTCTGGGGATTTCAGTAGAATGACATAGGCTCACAGTTTCACCAGTCAGGTTTCCAGAACTGATCTTCATCCTTTTTTTGTAATAAAGTGGAATTACTGATGCAGGATTCATTGCAATGTATGCTACTCTTGCCAGTCGAGATGTTGATTGTTGTTTGATTCCAGAGTCACCATTCTATCTTGAAGGAAAAGGCGGACTTTTTGAATTTATTGAAAAACGACTCAAAGAAAATGGGCATATGGTTATTGTTATAGCCGAAGGAGCTGGACAGGAGCTCCTCGCAGAGAGTTTGCAGTCCATGGATGCAAAAGATGCTTCAGGAAACAAACTTCTTCAAGATGTTGGGTTGTGGATTTCTCACAAAATCAAGGTTACTAAGTTTTAATATATCCATCTAGTCTCTGCCCTTTAATTTAATTTATCATTACCTCCTGCATCCATCCATGCTTGCAATATAGGTTCCTATATAATTAATCATGGTTAATTTACTGTCTTTTCTTTACTTTTTTCAGAATCATTTCGCAATGCAGAAAAAGATGACCATTAATCTTAAATATATAGGTCAGTGTGTCAATTTTCCTTTGTAATTCAACCAAGTTAGATGTGCAAAAAATTTCACTTAACCTCTCTTTCAGATCCTACATATATGATTCGGGCTATTCCTAGTAACGCATCAGATAATGTCTACTGCACTCTCCTTGCTCAAAGTGCAGTTCATGGAGCAATGGCTGGCTATACAGGCTTCACTGTTGGTCTTGTCAACGGCCGACATGCTTACATTCCCTTTAATGTATGTTCCTCTTAAGTCCTAAACAAATTCTTTATTAGTGAACTGGAGCGGTTTTAATTTTGTAATCTATTCCTTGAGAATAGAGTTAGAAGCGGAAAATTATCAATTTACTATAGATATTTTATCACTGTATTCATATTGCTCATGGTGATAAACCTTGTATTTAAATTTGAATTTGCAGCGGATCAATGAGAACCGGAACAAAGTTGTCATTACTGACAGGATGTGGGCAAGGCTGCTATCTTCCACCAACCAGCCAAGCTTCTTGGATCCAAAGGATATTGCCAAAGCCAAAAGAGAGAAAGAACCCGCAAATGGATTGTTGGAGAACGGATACAGTGAAAATAAAAATTGACTAGAATAATCATCCTATTTAAGCTATCTTATGTTTTGTTTGAGGCTCGTAAAGGTACAATCTTAGCTATTGTTAGTACTCAAATTTCAAAGGTTATCAGTGATTTTGTATCATTAACTTTGGCCACTGTTTAATGGCCCTTTCTTCGAGAAATAGAAAGATCCTTCGCAAGTTTCAATTTATTCACTTGGAATGCAGGTTCTTCTACTTCATTTTTTATTGTCATACTATTGCCCTTGGATGTATGTATTTATTTTTTCACCATTTTTCAGTCATCTTCAAAATAATTCTTTTCCGTGCCCTTGGAGTTTGCTGGCCCATGGCATTAGATAATTTTTGGTGATCTTATCACTACCCTTTATATCAAAAAGAAGAAAAAAATTTATCATCTATTTTTCATTTTTAAAAAGATTAAAATTAACTTTACATATAAAAAAACACTAGCTCACCACACATTTATTGAAGGTGTTATTCTTTGTATAAAATGTTATACAGTAGTAAATATTGATTTTTATATTAATTTAATGAAAAAGTATTTTATAGGCCAAAATTTACTTTAAAAATGCAATCCAATCTATAAAATTGCAAAATTTTTTTGGTACTAACCTCCGATATCCAAAAGTTATATTGAATTTTGAATCTCGATTAATGTGAAATCGAAATAAATTAGACCCTATAAGAGCTAATGTTTATTTTTTCATTTATAAAACTTGAACTTGAAATCTTATTTAGGGAGATCAAACTCCATTCACTTGAACTAACAAGTCGTAGTGCTAAATTAATCTTAACAAAAATTGGATTACATTTTTAATGTGTAGTTTGGCTTATAAAACATAAATATCTAAAATAATTTTAGAAGAGCAATCATATGAAGATAATCTTTTTGTACAACTTTTATATATTTTTAAGAGTAATGATCAAAGGGACGAAATTGGGATACGAAATTGGGGGATGATAAATGAAAATTGCAGGATACAAAATTATCAATTTCATCCTACTCACTTGTCGTCCCCCAATTTCGTCCCCCTAATCATTACTCTATTCTTAAATAAGTGGCTATATATAATATCATGAGTCTTATTAGAATAAAAGAGTCAATTATTAAGTGACACCTAAAATTATATAAAAACTTATCTTTCAACCATTTTCCAATTTCAAAATTGTCATCTAGTATTTTGAGTTTAAAATTTGTATTGTTGGATCATTTAACAGTCCATTTTAGCACTTAATTGACAGAAGGATTGAATTGGTGCCCTAAAATCCAAGTTTAAGGATTATTTTATTAGTTTTTAAAGTTTAAGGATCATTTTGGTCCAAAACTAAAACTTCAACGACCAAATTAGTAATTTGACCAAGGGGAAAACATGACAAACCCTAGAATTTATTTTATTTTATTTTAAGGGACTCGAATTTTCAATTTTGATGTTTCCCATATGGCCTGAGCTGGCCCCACTAGAGACCTTTTAGGCTTTGCTATTTCTCTCAGGCCCAGCCCATTTTCTTCGGTTCTGTGAGGGCAGGCTCAGCCCCTTTTATTCTCCTTATTTCTCCTTTTTTAAAATATTTTTTTGGATATTTATATATTTAAAAATAAATGTTGAGTTCCACCTTGCGTGGGTTTATATTGTAATTTTTAAATTTTTTTTATTTTAACTTATCTGGTTATTTATATTTTAGATTAGTAACATTGGGGCTTAAAGGAGATTCCAAAAATTTTCTGAAAGTTTTTCTTGTATCCTTCCGGCTATAAAATAATAGAATGGATTAATTTAAGTTATATAAACTTGAATTTGTTCAAATTTAAAGATAAAATAGTTTAAAAGTGATAATTAAAACCTTTTTGGGTTAGGGCTTGGCACACCCAATCCAACATGGACTAGGCGTGCTGCAAGGGGAAGGAAAAATGCAAGAAGGGAAAATCTTCTCTATTTTTAACTTGAAGACTAAATTTATGTATTTCTAATTAGATTAGAATTACCATATTCTTTATAATTCTTATGTCCAATTAGATTAGAATTATTATATTCTTTATAGCTTTTATTAGTATAAATAGAAATAAAAAGAACAAATTTCTACCATACAAAAATTAAAAAAGCAGTAATATAGGGATAATTTTTTTTTATTATTTTGTTATATAATTTTCATGTGTCATTAAATAAGTGAATGCATTCAATATCATCAGCTCTAAATAAATGAAAAGAGCTAGTCATTCAAATGACATGTCAAATTGTATCAAAAGGTGATACAAAAATATTATTTTTAAATCATTTTCCAAATTAAAATTCACTTAAATTAGTACTTGAGATAATTGCTGGATTATTACTAGAAGAGTTCTATTTGGATTTGTAAAATAATTTAGGGATAACCTTTTTGGTATCATCTTTTCATCCAACCTTACATGTAATTAAAATGATTGACTCTTTTTATTCAGTTGGAATCCGTAATATTGAATGCATTAACTTATTTAATAGCATATAAAAATTATATAAAAAGATGATATAAAAAATTATCTCTATATTACCCCTTTGAATTGTTGATTTTGTACAAAAGTTGCGAATTGAAGCCTACTTATCAAAGAGACATTTCTTTGAAATAAAGATCACATAATCTTTTTTAACTATATTTTTAGAGGTCACATAATCTTTTTTAGCTGTATTTATACTTTGATGTTTCTAATTATTTGTGTTGACATTAACATGTCATTTTTCTTCACGATGCAATCATGTGCAAGAGTTACGGTCACTAATTTTTAATTCTTCAAAGCATGGTAATAATAGAATTGTTGTGAATCATCAAGTAGGGAAATTGATTCAGAGATATGTTTTCCTCTTTTTTATGTTTGTGTCGTACTCTTTCTGTCTTACATTAGCTCCCATTTGGATTTCTTCTAAAGCACAGTGGCAATGCCACCGTGTTTGGTTCATTGGGTTCGAGTCCTGTCCCCTACCCCTAGGGAAATGTTGCGTGTCATCAAATAAAAAAATTGTAGCAACTGTTCCATTTATAAAAAAAAAATGTTATTATTAGGTTAGAAAAGTTAATAGTTACACATGGCATCATGGTCCAATTGATGAATTTGTAAGGTGTATCCCAATCTAAATACTGGGGTTTAATTTTTTTCTTTTTAAAAAATTATAACCTTGTTCAAAAAAAGAAAAGTTAGTAGGTTTTTTTTATTTAATCATAATATTTTAATTACTAATTAATCCTTCACATTCTTGATTTATTTATTTACTACATCCATGCACGTACTTTTTATTATTATTATTATTATTATTATTATTATTATTATTATTATTATTATTATTATTATTCCCCTCAACTCCTTAGCTTCTGTTGCAGACGAAGAGTGAGAACAAACAATAAACCAGTCATCACCTCAACTAATGGAGAGGGAGGGAAAGCAGATTCATGGGATCCACGGTCAAGAAGTTTTTGATTCAAGTGCACCCCCACCGTTTAGGATAGGAGATATTCGAGCTGCCATTCCTAAGCACTGCTTGATCAAAAATCCATGGAGGTCCATGAGTTACGTATTCAGGGACGTCCTTGTTATTTTTACATTGGTGGCAGCAGCACTATACTTTGATAATTGGTATACTTGGCCTCTCTATTGGGTCGCTCAGGGTACAATGTTCTGGGCCCTGTTTGTCCTCGGACATGACTGGTAATCACATCTATACTAACACTGCATTGTCTTAAATTTTCACTGATTCATTGTCTTCCGTAATCTGTGTGCTGAAGTAAATGTGTTTGGATTCTTGATGTTACAGCGGTCATGGAAGTTTTTCCGATAATGGCACCTTGAATATTATAGTGGGACATATCTTACATTCATCAATTCTTGTACCTTATCATGGATGGTGAGTTATAATTCTATCTCCATTTATCCTTCAATTTCTTCTAATCGGGCGAAATAACATTACTGAAATCTTTCAGGAGGATAAGTCACAAGACTCACCATCAAAACCACGGACATGTTGAAAAAGATGAGTCATGGGTTCCGGTGAATGATTATCTATATGCTTGCTTCTGTCAAATGTACCACTGCTACAAATTCAAATCTGAATCTTTCTTTTCTCTTCGCTTTGCTTTCAGCTGCCTGAGAAGATCTACCGAAGTTTGGAAATTAAAACTCGAATTTTGAGATTCACTTTGCCCCTCCCCTTGTTTGCATTCCCTCTATATCTTGTAAGATAGTCGTTTTTGTTGGACTTTCATCCTAGATTAAAGATTCATATTATTATGCTCCTCCATAGTATATGAAGCTGAATTTGTCTCTTTCATTGTACCAGTGGTATAGAAGTCCAGGAAAGGAAGGATCACTCTTCAATCCTTATAGTGACTTGTTCTCCCCCAAAGAAAGGAAACTTGTGATGATCTCAACTGCCTGTTGGGGACTAGTTACTTTTCTGCTTGGATATTTGTGCTTCCTGACAGGTCCAATCCAGATGCTTAAACTCTATAGTGTTCCTCATTTGGTCAGTAAAATTGTCTCTTTTACTATGCAACTTTGTGGAACCATATTAATATTGCTTCTATGATGTTAATGTACTTACTGACCTTGAATTTCAGATTTTCATAGCATGGTTGGATGGTGTCACTTACTTGCATCATCATGGCTATGAGCAGAAGCTTCCCTGGTACAGGGGCGAGGTAATTAACCTACTTAGATGCATGAAAATAACTTTAACTGTATGCTTCCAATTCAAATATGATTTTGGCATTTGAATCAAAATTTTGTAAACTCACAAGGCATTGTTGCTCTAACGACAGGAATGGAACTACCTGCGAGGAGGGCTTACAACAGTAGACCGAGATTATGGCCTGTTCAATAACATCCACCATGACATTGGCACTCATGTCATACACCATCTTTTCCCTCAAATCCCACACTATCACCTGGTGGAAGCGGTATGTTATAAATTTCATGAAACTAAATAAAATATAGATTTATTTCGTAGTTAGTTGTTATAAAGTTATAATGAACTGATATTGAATACTCCATTGCAGACTGAGGCAGCTAAGGCAGTGCTTGGAAACTACTATCGGGAGCCAAAAAAATCAGGCTCTATTCCTTTTCATTTACTCAAGACTTTACTGACAAGCCTTAGGGAAGATCATTTTGTGAGCGACACTGGAGAGATTGCTTATTATCAAACCGATGAGGCCCTATACAACTTCTTCAAGACCAAGTCCGCCTCATTGTTTCAGACCACATAGCAGCAGCATCTTCACTTGTTTCAGAGTTCAGAAATATATATGTATGAACTGTGTCAGCTAGTGTAGTAGGATCCAAGCATTGTCTTGTAATAAATTTAAGTCCAAAATAGTTTAATTAGACATATAAATTTATGTTTCTGAGTTTAGAAATTTTACTTGAGTAACAGAGTGGAGAAATTTTTCATCTTTACACATCCTTCTTTACTTGATAACATTGTTGCTAGTAGTGTAACTGAGTCTGAATCACAAAAATCAAAGCAACATACCTTACAGATTTTGATGAGATTAGTGAGAGCCACAACAGGGGCAAAACAAAAACGAAGAAGAAGATGTATTATGATTACAAAGGAACCAAAACAGAGTTCTTCCCCTACTTCATCGATTAAAATCCGTTGAAAAAAATCAAGAAATGAAGAAAAAAGAATTATTATAAGAAATGAAACCCATATGAATTAAGAAATGGGTATGGCAAAGGATGGAGAAATGGAACCCAGATCATCATGAGGCTTGGAAGAAGATGAGAGTCCTTCTGGGTAGAAATTTCCATCAAACAGAAATAAAACTTTCAACAATGGAAATTTTCATGGTTAAATATATGGAAAAAATGGCGGGAAGTACTAGTATATACACCCAACCAATAATTTCATTTAATCTGCGAATCTCAAAAGGCCAAAAAATTAGATTTGATTGAGAACTGTAACTTCTGGAATTTCAACTTCGCTTTCTTCCTATTTTCTCAAAAATAGTTTCAATTACCTGATCAACCAGATGTAAAATCCTTAAGTATCGGACTGATTTAACAAATTGGAAAAGAAATTAAACTATGTGAAAGTTCATCGAACTGGTCGAGAACAGTGCAGTCACCGTCATCCTCACGTTCAAGCAGGATCGAGGGAAGATTGAATGGCCGCAGAAGACGAGCAGTTCGTTGTTCATTAGTTCCTCTTCTCCAATTGAGTGTTCTGTTTTTTGCTTAATTTTATTTTTAACCAATTTAATGCAACATAATCATCATAATAATTTGTAAGTACGATGTGGGAAAAATAAAATAAAATATATCAGTTTTGATTAAAAAAATTAAAATTTTATTTTTTTTAATATTTAAATTTAAAAATTATTTATTTATTTTAATATAATTAATTTTTAAATAAATAAATAAATAATGTCTCCATAGAAGATAACCTCGCCCTTCAAATCCCCATGCCCCAATTTAAACCACCCAAAAAATCCATTAGATGCT